ACAAAATGCAGGGTAAGGATTTCTCTCCTTTTCTCCCACAGATGTTGTCAACTTGGACCTGAAGTCTACCCTCAGGGTTCTGTACAACCTGTTCACCAAGTACAAGAACGTTGAGTGATCCTGGAAGTGATCCTGCTGAGGTCTCTTCATCCTTCAAGGCAGAAATGACCATAAACACACCCTCTGCACGCCCCCCTTGTGCCTTATGCTCCACTTCATGCATTCTTTCTGCACTTGGTGTGGTCTGTCTGTAGCTCTTTGTATGACAATTCCACTAAAAACAGTGCATGTGTATTCTCTACATCACTTGAAAATGTGTAGGTATGTCACACTTTTACCAGAAGATTGGATCTGCTGTTTGTTATAACCCACAGGTGTGCTTTTGATAAAGGAAATATACCACTAACTACTTTAATAAGCAGGGAAAACACAAGACCTTCCTCATGGCTGGAGACTCTTTGATTCCACACTAGGCTTTCTTTTGTACACTCCTTGGTTGCCACTGGCATTTGATGATTTTGAAATAGTGTTGAAAATAGAAAATCAGCAGTGGGATTTATTTACAAACTGAGCCTTTTCTGTTAAATAGAGTTTCTCTTGGGTGGGTTGGGCTGAGGGGAATTAGGCACTACCTGAAGCTCATGGCAAAAGCTTGAGGTTTTGGGTTTTTTCACCTCATTCTACTCAGTGTTATTTCCATTCAGTGTTTACACAGAATAAGTCTTGTAATGGGATGACCAACTAACTTTTTTATGTCTATTTTTATTTTATCTCTTTTCTAGGAGAAATTTGTTTGCTAGAGCCACTGTTACCCATTCAGCTTCAGTCAGGCCAGTCAGGAGCTGGTCAGACAGGCACAGACTGGATTAATGCCTTTTGCCCCCAGTCCTTTCTGAAATAATGAGCTTGGCAGTCTGAAGGTTGATTCTTCATTTCACACAGAGGAGTTAAAGGGTCAGATTACTCCTGTTGGAATTGTTGGCAGCTGTAGGGTTCTGGGGGTCAGGCTTTTATAAACAGGCAGGTTTTCTCTGCTCCATAAGCTCACTTGAATCCTGTCATAAGTAGGCATATTCTTCCCCTACAAATGGATTTCTTACACCAAACATTATTTACCCTTGAACTCAGGTTCAAGAGGAACCATGATCTTTGAATGGTATAATTTTACAATTGGGATTTTCTCCTTCCCTCCTTAAACATTTTTTCATCTCAAAGGGAGAGAAATGGGCTTCTGCTGCTTTTGTTTCATGTTTTTGGGTTCTGAGCTTTAGCATTTGAATTACTTGGGTCACCTCCCCTGAAACAAAGATGGAAGGAAGTTGCCCTTTCTTTGCATGAAAAATTCAGATCTCCTCTGCTGTGTAAGGTTCTCTGGGGAATCATTGCTTGCCTGTGCTTCAGGAAGGAGCTGACTTCTCACTGCTTATACAGAGCCCAGAAAACTTGGACTTGGAGTTCAGATGGGGCCACTAAACTGCCGTAACCCCAGCAGTTATTACAGAGGAGATTTACAGAGGTACCAGAGGCTCGTGGGTCAGCTCTCCTGGCAAATTAAGGACATTGCTGTTAACTCTGTGCTGTGAAACAAGGGGATCACGGGGCTGGGAGGTGATTGAACTGAAAGGTCTCTCAAACTTACAGTTTAATCTGTGGGAAACAATCCTGTTAAAGAGTTGTCATTCCACCCACCTCCCTTCAGGTGATGTGGAAGGGCCAGTGCTGTTTATATTCTCTGAGTTGCTGGGAGAGACCTCCAGAGAGTCTAGTTTTTTAAATTGTGAGCAATATTAATATCAAAAGCAAACAGAAAATAACAAGAAGAGATTGATAAGAGGGATTTGGCTTTGGGGATGGTTCTTTCTGAGATGGGATTGTACAGCTGGCATCTTCATGGCATGTGAGCAGACGTGAATGTACTGACAGGTTTTAGGAGTCTGTTCTGTTCAGTTCTGCATTTCTGGTCACTCTGCAGAACCCCGAGTCCCTCTGCTGCAGCCTGAGGCACTCCTTATGTGAACATCCCTGTCAGACAGGACTGCAGCCTTATGTTGATGTCCCAACCAGGACTGCAGGCTGGATGCCCTGAGCATCTTTGGGGCAGGTGTCAGACCACGTTCTGTTATGTTTTTAAGTCTGTTTGTAAACATTGCAGAGGGAAAACACTCATTCCTTGGCTCCTTCCCACCCACTGTTCCTGCAGACACTGTATTTATTGTTAACAGGACTGTGAGCAGGGCAGATTTAATTGAACTGGAGCCTCATCCCAATGAGTCCAGTTTTCAGGAAGAGCAATGTAGGTGAAGCTTCTCTGAGCACCTGCTTTTGTCCTGCCTCTTTCTTACATGTCTGATGCTTCCTTTCCTCTCAAAAAGCCAAGTCGATGTTAAACGTGTTATTCACGATCTCTTTGTGTTACTGGGGTTTGACATTTGTTCCCTGGGTACCAGTGGGACAGATCTCAATCCTGTTGGGTTCACCTGGAGTGCCGGATGCTCTGCAGCTTCTGCATTTTGGAAGTGCTTAATGAATGTCTGTCTTTTCCAATCCATACCACTTGACTTTTAGGTGCATGTACTGGACATACTCAGTTCCACTGGGCTCTGTTACCACAGAAGAAGCTCAGACACTCCTCAGCTGCATTCTGGTTTTCAAGATGAAAAACCAACAGTGGCAGATTTTTTTAATCACCTTAAACCTTAAAGGATTTCTTAGCCCTCTTCTCCACGTCCCAGTGCTTTCAGTATTAATGTATTTTTTTAAGAGTCTTTTCTACTGTTTTTAACAGTGTTTACTCTGGATTTCTAACTACTAAAAACCAGCCTTGCAGATAAAATTCTGGGCTTGTCACATGCTGGAGGCACCCAGCACAGTGATAAGAGTTGTGTACTGTAAGCAAGTTACAATGCAATGCTATGTTTGCTAAAATTCACAGCAGGAGTGTTATGCATGGTTTGTGACAGTTGTACTATTTATTCAAATAAACCAATAATGATCACTATGTTTTCTCCATCTTTTATTTTTTGCTAATTGGACAAGTCTGTGGGAAGAACTTTTGAATGGTAAAGTTCAGCCATCGAGGATCTTAGACACAGGATGGTCTGTGCTCACCTGGAAAAGCAGTGATCTCTGTTTCTGGCTCTGGTACAGATGATGAGATGGTGTGGGCAGCACAATTAACATCTTCTGTAGGTTTCTTCAGCTTTTTTTTTTATTATTATTATTATTGCTCAGCTGCTGGATCTGATCAACTTGTTTACCTTTTTCCTTCCACAAGAGAAAAGCAACTGAATTACACTCTCTGATGCCTGTTAGAAGGCTTGGGAGCCAGTTCTTACACATCAGCACAGGAGGGAATCCTGGCATGCCAGTTTGTGCCTACAGAGCTCTTGGGAAGCTCAGGGAAGTCTGGAGTGACACTGAAAATGTCAGTGTCCTTCCCTTTGCTCCGGTATGGAGAGAGCATGGAGTGGCTCTCCAATACTGCAGGGCTGTAGGGAAGCAGGAAAATGCATTATGAGAACTTGTTGGTGGGAATGCTGTTGGTTCCTTGAATTGTTCTTCAGTGGCTATTTTTAAGCGAGGGCCAGGTGTGTGTGGGGGGGGGGTGTGTGCATGGGATGTGCTTTGGGAATGTACAGAAACACTTGGGATAGGGGGAGATGGGCAAGGAATCAGCTGCAGCTCCGATGCAGGATTTACTAGTCCTGTTCTGGAGAAGACTGGATGCTCCATGCACCGCAGGCAACATCAGGTTTTGGAGGAAAATAACAGGGTTGTCCATCATGTGTTTTCCAGAATTGTTTTTTTAGTACTGACACCCCGTTGTGAACGAGGCTTTCAAGAAAGAAGTCCTTGGTGTTGCTAGTGGAAGTAGGGAGAGACCTGGGAATTACAGGTGGATTTCCCAGCAGTTGATTATTCCCTCTCCCTCTGCGTGGTGATATGAAACTGGCTGTGGCCAAAGTTCCCAATAGCATCTCCAACAGTACCTTCTTTTTGTTTTTCACTTACTACATGTCTAGCCTGCAGAATGCACTTCTGTATAGGTGAGAAGGTACTCTGGGTCTTGGCTAATTTGTTGTATTGTTGTGCTTGTTATCTGCTTAGGAAGGAGTTATGTTTGCCCCTTGCTTCAGGATTTTGGGTTAAGTTCTCAGTTACTAAGAATTCCTGGCAGCTGGAAATCTGTTTTCAGCCCACTTTCCTTTATCCCATTTTGTCCATTCTTGTCTTTGGCGTGGAGCTCAACACAGGAGTCAGTCCTTTAAGGGAGTTAAACCAGACCAGCTTAGTTAGTGTGGCTGGCTGCTCTCTTATTTGGGGGATTGGTGGAGGACTGCAGGGTTGCTTTTGCTTGCTGGGAGATTTAAACCAGACCAGCTTAGTTAGTGTGGCTGGCTGCTCGCTCATTTTGGGGGTTGGTGGAGGACTGCAGGGTTGCTTTTGCTTGCTGGGAGATTTAACAGATGTAGCTGGAACCTACAGGAAATGTCCAGGGAAACTGGTCGCTGGAGGAAGCTTTTCCTGTTTAATCAGTGAAGGCAAAGGGGAGGAAGAGCAGCAGCACTGCCTAGTGGGGATAACTCTGCTCTCAGAGTTTTGGGCCCTGCTGTGGCTAATGGGCTCTCCAGGGACAAATGAGTTCATCTTCTGCCTGGATGTCTCCTTCCACCAGGTGGGTAGAGTGGTGCTGATCTGCTTTACCAAATGCTTAAAGGACCATGAGTAAAAGCATGATTTTGGCTGTTCTTGGCTGGTTTATGGTTACATGCCAAGACAAAGAGCACCACAAGTCTCCCCGGAGGCAGGGCAGCAAAGCTGGGCAGTGCCATGCAGGAGTGCTCCTCTCTCTGTAATGCTCCCTGGGGTTCCAGGAGCTGCATGTTTCCTGCATTTGTGTGTCTGTTTATCCTCTCCTGCAGCAGGGAGCAGGCACACAGACAATGAGGTTCCGGATGCGAGGCTGGTTTCGTTTTTAGGAGCACTGAGCACCACACCACTTCCCCCTCACACACCCTGGGCTGCCCTGCATGGCAGACGCTCCCAGCCTGGGGCCAGTCCCCCCTCCCCACGGATCCCATCGTGCCTGCTCGGAGAACAGCTTGGAAGAGCTGCTGGAGAGCCACTGGAGGAGAGAACAGTAAGCCTGGGAAAAGGGGCTCCTTTTTTAACCGAGTGTCCACGTGGGTTGTTCTTGCTGAGGTAACGTCTGATGCTGATGGGCAAAAAATGGCTCTTGAAAGGTCTGGCACTAAACAGGGAAGTAGAAGTAAGTTTTAAGTAAGAGTAAGTTTTAAACTCGGTGCACAATGCACATTCTCTTTTTTTTTTTTCCTTATTTATTTTTTTTATTGCCGTTTTCTGAACTCAGAAATGTTAACATTAACATTCCCACTTGGTTTTTGTTCCCTTCTCTGTGTGACCCAGACAAGTGTTCCTAGGAAAGTGAGCTAGTGCAGAGTAGGGCTTTTGTCTTTTCAAGGAGGAAGTAAAGCAGTTGAAACGGTTTGGTACCACTGGTAAGTGCTTTGTGTATATTCTACAGGTAGTTTGTAAGCCAGAGCCCACCACTCATCAATGCTTTATCTCAGGGGTATCTGACAGCCAGACTGTGAAGACCCATGGAGGAAAAGTGAACTGCTCTGACCCAACTAGAGAACTAGCTGTGGCATTGCAAGGTTGTGCAATATCTGGTTCCTGACCTGAGAAAATTTCACTTGCAGGTCACGTTCATAGTCAATAATTAGACCTCAGTTTATTTAAAAATGTCATAATGAAATGCCTTTACAATCAGTATTCAAGCAGTTGTCTCCTACAGTGATCTAGGACCAAGGCTCATGCCACAGGAAGGGCTGCTTGTGAATGCTAATTGTTACCAACAAACCAGTCTAAGTGGTAAATAGCTGCAGTGCTCAGGCTCTGCAATGCCTGTGGGGAATCAATATTGAGAGATGAGAGGTGAAACACAGTACTGGCTCTGCAGACAAATGATGGGCTCTGAGGGGTGTTGCTGCTTAGCAATAAGATCTTGGAGATATAATAAATAGCTCCCTTAAAGTGTCAGCCTGATCAAAAATCAAACAGTGTCAGGAATTGGGAGGAGAGGAACATCAACGTGTTGACGGCTCCTGATGACCTGGACCCCAGTTTTAATTCAGGAAGGCTGAACTGCAGCCCTGTTGAAGTGTTTTTTAGGGAAGTTTCTGTATATCCTTGCTCTGCTTGTGGTTTTTTGGGGTTCTTTTTTTCCCCCCAAGGTTCTGCTTCTGGGGTAGTGCTGTCAGGGACTGGGTAATGGGCAAGTCAGTCTTACCCAGAGCAGCAGTTTCAACACTGACTGAATAGGACACACAGGACTGAGGCCTTAGAGGATATGATATTACATTATAGCAAATTCTGAATTTCAGGCCTTTCCTTACAGGTTTCCAAATTTTAGAGTGGCTTCTGATGTTTGGGCCACGCAGAGCCCAAGGGTGTGGCAGGCACAACACATCCCTCTGAGGTGCAGATAGTTGAGGGAATAAGAGACACAAGCTGAGTTTTGCAGCAGAGTGAGTGTGAGCTGTGGTTTACACAGACAATTACCATTATGAGCAGGACTTCCCAAGGCATAACAGCTGTCAGAAACCTAATTTAAAAGTAAGTAGTCCTCAGGTTGCTCTGTATTAATTAAGTTTTCTCTCTCAGGGCAGTCTTATCTCAGATAGTTCAGTTGTTCCTCAGGCACTACATGACTCAATTTCTCCTATTTTATTTTATCAAGCACCTTTTTAGAGATAGCACTCAGTTTTGCAGCGACCATAATGAAATTAATTCCCTTGTGACCCTCTCTCCCATTGCCTTGCTGGCAATTTTAAGCCAACTTGAATTACCAGATTGATGTGCAAAAGCATCCAGTGGCTATTTTGTACCAATATCCTCGCCTTGGCAAAAATCCCTGTTAAAACAATGCATGTTCACAAAGCACTTTGACTGGAGCCTGTAATAAATATGTGAGGGAGAGCCTTCAGAGCTGCAGATTCCAATAACTCTTAACTTTTTGTTGAGTTTCAATCCTTGCCAAGCTAAAGCATCCTGTTTTTTTTAGTCTTGTGGACTTTAAGCAAGCACTTAAAACTGAACATTCCCTGCCATGTAAGCTGCCTGTAGAGCCTGGCTCTGTCTTTGGTGTTATCTGTGTAGGCAGTGTGGTAATTTAACTACTGTGGTCTTGATTTAAAAGTTTCTAAGTATTGGTAATTTTCAAATTTTCTAGCAGATACTCGTTAATATCTTGGGACTGAAAACTTTTTCATTTCACTTGAAAGAGGATTTTACTCACCTATTAGAGGTAAAACAGAATTAGATGGAATTACAGCAAGTTTTAGTGCTTCAGGGCTTTTCTCCTACCTTTTGATGATTAACAGGAAAAATGAAAATTGTTTTTAGCTTCTTTTTCTTTACACACATTTAAATATATTCTCAGATTTTTTTTACAAACAATCCACTGATCATGAAACAGTAAGTGATAAAACCCCCTTCAGTTTGTTTTCTTCTTAGCACTAATTTTGATCTTTATATGCCTTTACTAATGATCCTTTCTCCCCCATATTTTTTATCAGTTTACCAGGAGTGAGAAAAGACAATGGATTCAGACTTTTTAAATGTGTTTACACAGCCTTCTACAGTTGATCAATTCCTAGATGAGACTGTCATTGCTAAAGGTATGTACTTTATGAACCTGGAGAGAAAAAGGTCCAAAGAACCACCTGAAGAACCAAACAGAAAATGTGCAGTGCAGATGAATTGTATATTTTTCAGCAGTGATCCCATGGTTTTATCTGTGTGTAATTTGGCTGCTGACTCTTTGGAGGCAGATCATGAAGAAGCAACACCAATTCCAGCTGGTTATTTAACTGAAATTTAAATACTATAAGGTTCTGACTGACTTTGTTTTCCTCTTTCCAGAATTGTCCATCCAGATCTTACTGGTTTGAATTACAATGAAGCATCATTTCCAACAGCAGTTTTCATAGTCTGATGCACCATTTTCTCGCTGATAAGGAATCAGTTAAAACAAAAAATGGCAGTGTTTCTACATAGGGCAATTAGTGATTATTGGGACTATCAAACTCGCAGCAGATTTTGCTACAAACTTGCAGTAGTCATATCTGACAATGGTAATGTTTGCTTCCTTCCACAGGTGAGAAGAGGAAACTCATAAAACCCACCTCAAGCAACAATTCCAAGTTGAAACAATTAAAACTGGTACCACTTCTTTCACTATATTGTTTAACCCTCACCTCAGGTTGTTTTAACTTGTTGACCTAAAGGAACCAGAGAACCTGTTGTGTTCAGCCCAGTGCTCAGATCCCACTCTCTACAAGTGGGAATGAGCTCTGAACCAGAGCTTTTGCCTCAGAACAATGTCAGGGTGGCTGGGGCCAAACAGGACCAAGCTTCAAATGCAGTGACCAGTGCTGGGTGTGAAGCTGAGTGCAGCTCAAAAACCGAGTTGTTTCTTGTGTGACACCTCTCCTAGCCTGGGAGATGTGGGTGAGACACACCAGAGACACCCAGTTGTTGCTTCATTGTGATGAGAATCCAGCTGCACTGGTCCCATGATAACAAGTTTTAGGGTTGCTTGTTATCTGTCTTGTCTTCTGCCTCCACTCGATGGAGCCTGATGGGGATAGAGAGCAGAGGGGGAAGGGATGGAGAGCATGCATGCAACTCACCAGGAATCCAGGAGAAAAGCTTTCAGGTTGTTGTAGGGTACATTGCCTGCTTGAGGTAATGTGAGGGGTGAATCCTATTTCACAGGAAAGTGCTTTATTTCCCAGTAATTTTGACAACCCCCACACCCCGTGTGCTCAGTCACTGCCTCTCTCTAATGGCACAGCCCAGGGGAAGGCTCACACACTGCAATTCCCTGGAAGAAAAGTGGCATGTCTCTCATGAGACCAGCACTTCTTGCATTATGGAGGTGCTGAAATTGTTATAAATATTATGAAAAGCAGCTCAAGCTGTGTGCTGATGTTTGTATTATCTGGCATTTATAAACCCGTGGATGGGTGCGTTCCTGTATTACGTTTTTGGGCACATTTGATCAAAAAGGTTTGATTTTTGTGTCAGGCTTTCACAATGTTTCTATACAGAAGAGAAAATCTGAAAGGTGGTGCTGCAAAATGCAATTATGTTGTCTACAGAAACACTGGATTTGTTCATTCCAGATTGCCAAAAATGAAGAGTTTCGCTCAGTTTATTATCTCTGTGAGCTTCAGTGCTTAATCCATTTTCTGACAGAGATTCCTGAAAGAATGTTCTTCATTGTCTAAATTATTTTCTTTGCATGATGTGGAGGTGGAAATTGAGTCCTGAGGGAGGCACAGCCCTCTGGGTGCCCATCAGTGCCACTTGATTGTCTTCTTAATCTAAAGAATTGATGCTTCTCTAGAGAAGGGGTTGGGATGGAGACAGGGACAGGGAGGTATCTTCAAGGGAAGAACAAGGGAAGCAAGGAAACTCTCTTGGGAGAAAGATTTTTCACTGCATTTTCATTTTGAGGTGTCTTTGGAGAACTAAGGAATGAGAAATGTGGTTACTATAAATATCAAGCTGCATGTAAAATAGAAGATGGTTACGTTGGGCAGCCAGCAGCAAACCTCTCCAAGTATTCCTTTCCTCCTTTCTCCCTTTTAGACACAAGGCTCTGCCCTGCAGCTGAGTGGGTCAGAAAGCAGAGCTGTGTGAGCTGCAGGCTGTGGATGTGGCTGAGATAGCAAGTGAGGGGTGTCACAGGTCTGTCCTCAGCACTATTTGCTGCTTTTCTGACTTCCCTCTATATTTGAGGTACTGCTCTACCCCTCACACATCTGAAGCCAGCATTAGCTGAGGAGCACAGCTTTCTGCTCTGGAACATTCTTAGCACAGAGTTTGTGTTACACTTTGACAGGTTCTCAGTTCAGGTGTTTGTCGTTCCTTGTGCAGTTTCAAGCAAGATATTTATATTTTTTTCAAACCCTTTTTACATTTTTGTTAATGTTGGGTAACTCACAGGGATCTGCTATGAATTTTCTCCTCTGTTTACAGCAGACAAACTCCAGACACTCACTCAAATAGTGACACAAGCAATACTTCTCCTTCTTTCAAGAGGGATGTCCATGTTAGCAGCCAGCTGGGGCTACTGCTTTTCTGTTCTGCTTCAGCCTTTCCATCAAAATATATGGATAAAACATATGCTTGGGGAAGTGCTGAGGAGCTTTTTCATGTAGGAGCACATGTGATTCCTTTCCAGCTGTAGCCAGCTCTCCCTGGCTTCCTGAGCAGCTGCCCCCAAAAAGGCAGGAGGGATATTGGAAAGGCTGGTGGGAGGATTGCCATGTAAGAAAACCTCAAAAATGTAATTGGGGACTGTGCAGTATAATAATGCAAAAAAAAGGAAACAAAAGTAGGAGAGGAAAGGGAGGAGTGGGAGTAACATGGATGAGTACAAGGAATAACCCACAGAATGAGTGAAACCTCTTTTCTTACAAACTTCTGCCTGGCAGCTGCATTTGTGTGAATTCTGTGATATATGATAAAGGCAGGGGGTGGGAAGTGTACTGTGCAGTCTTTTTCTTGATGGGAATGGGAATAGGTCTCCCAACTCTATAACCATTCCACAGAATTCAAAGGAATATAACTAGTGAGTTGTCAACCTCACTTGAAAATCAGGAAGAACTGATACTTCCCTTTATAAGCCAACCAAAAAGCACAAAGGAAGTGGAGGTTGAAAGCAAACCAAGATGTGATAAGGGACTACAGAGAAAGGTGAAGCACAGCCTAGTGCTATTCTGTCTAAACAACAGGAATATAACTGCAGCTGCTTTGTTTTCCTCTGCAGTTTTTGATTGACTGGATTAACAGAACTCTGCAAGAGGAACACATAGTAGTTAAAAGTCTGGAAGAAGACCTGTTTGATGGGCTGGTACTTCATCATCTCTTGGGTAAGCTGTTCCTTTGAGTTTAGTTCCCAGACACATCATGGGGGAACTTCCAGATCAGAGACTAAACCTCACAACTCTCACTGGCAGTGACCTGCCAGGGTCTCACTTCCCTAACAGAGGAAGCACTGCACTGAACCAGCTGTGATAATTGCAATTCTGAGCAAAAGCCCCAATGATCCACTGTTGTTTTACATAAGTATTTTACTTCTAAGAAAATCTTTTGACCTGCTAGTCGACACAATAAAAAGGTTTTGCATTTTGAAGTGCGAAATTCAGTGTGTCTGAGAGAAAGGAGGATTTCATTAGTCAGGAGCACAAAGGTGACTTGTGGTGCTCTGAGAAACATTGGATGGAATCAGAACTGTAATATATGTGTTTTCCTGCTTTTAAAAAAAAATAAAAATTAAAAAGTTCGAGGCCTAAAGAACTGGGCTGGAACTGGAACTGATAAAAGTCTAAAAGAGGCTTTTGGTGCTGTGTGGTGCTTGTATAAAGGTGTGACCTCCTGGAGCAGCCTGTTGTTTGTTTCGATTCCTCCATCTCTCCTCTCCCTACTATATTTTTCTTTCCCTTTTCACTCTCTTTGGGGATGTCTTTCAAACCATATCTCCTTTCCACCAAGGCTGAGAGCAGCAGCATGAGCAGGATTGGCAGCATGAACATGGTTGCCTGAGCAATGAGCTGGGATTTCTTTGCACACCATCTACAGGAAAGATTCACTTGTTGGATTTCTGTAGCATCCATTAAGAAAGAAAGTGTTGGGGGATGATCCTGCAAGGAATGACTTGAGTCCTCTCCCTTTTGCAGAGCTTCACTGATTTTACTGGGGCTTTCAGAGAGCCCAGGAGTTTAACAAGGCTTAAAGGCCGTGGGGCTGTGGAAGCAATCAAACATTTAAAACAAGGCTTCGTGTGCTTTGCTGTCATTTTGTGGTTCTGATTTATTTTTTTAAACTTTTTTTTTTTTGCCTTACACTTCCCGTGGACTGTCTAAAAGAAAAGCTGGGGTCCCTCAAGCTGGATGTTGACAAGATCGCGTTGACGGAGAAGAAACAGCGCCAGAAACTCTCTGTGATCATGGAAGCTGTGGCCAAGTGTCTGCAACTGGAGGAGAGTCAGCTGAAGTGGAGCGTGGAATGTAGGTGCAGAAGTGAAACAGGAGGAAATTATCCATCACAGGGCTTCTGCTGTGAGGCAAAGGGCTGCCAGAACAGCAATTAAACAGCCTGTTTTCAATGACTGGTTGAATCAAAAATGAGACAGGAATCCCTGACCCTGACTGGCTCTGCCTCCTCTGAGCGTGTGGCCTGTGGGTCCCTTAACAGCCCTCAGTGTCCACGCACGTGTCTCACAAAGAGAACTTTGAAGCTGTGCTATTGCTAAATCGTGATGTTGTACAAACCCCAGTCTGGTGTCCCACCTCTGTTATGGTCCCCCACGACTTTGGGATCCTCTGCACAGGGAGAATTCCCGATGCTGGGGTGAAGTTTATTCATTTTGCACACTAAACATTGTTTTCTTTCTTGCCATGGAACAGCTATCTTGACAAAGGACTTGCTGAGCACACTGCACCTGCTGGTTGCAATAGCAAAGCACTTCAATCCCAGCCTGGCCCTGCCTCCAAATGTTCAAGTGGAAACAATCACCATCGAGGTATTTCTAGTTCCAATGGGTCCCAGAGTCCTTTCACAAGGCTAACTTGCTTGGAATTGTATCAGTATTTTCTGTGAGCCTTTTAATTTCTCAGCTTGTTGGATTAGATTTAGTTTTCAGTTCAGCTCTACTTTTTAAAGGGGAGAAACACTATGCTGGTTTTCTTCCTTGATCAAAAAAAAAAAAAAAGGAATTATCCAAACTGAAAACAGCTGTTGGTGCCTGTAAAGAGGAAAAAGAAGATATTCTGCTGTTACTATCTCTAAATGTTTTAAAGTAGAAGCCTGTACTCATAAATTATGACACTGGTTTCTTGCTGAGGATTTCTTTCTTTAGGAGAAGGGAGTTTTTACTGGTCTGTCTCTTCAGGCTGTCAGTTGGGTGAAGCACTGTTTTTTTGATGCTATGTGGAGTACTGAGAACTATATAGAGGGGAAAAAAGGAACAAGGATGTAAGAAAAGCTCCCGAGGGGCTTTAGAAATAGTCAAGAATTGCCATCCTAAATTTAAGCATCCTAGAAAACTGAAGCCCTCAGCAGGGGGGATTTTTCTGTGGGTGTCAGGCTGTGGCACAAGGTTATTATAAGGCAGAGGTGACCACCTCCAGTGCTGCAAACGAGTCATGAAAACCTCGTTACTGCTTTTGATTTCTGTGTGTGTGTGTGCCAAACTTCCAATTTTTTTATTGTCCTTTCAACAGAACACCTCCAGAGGATTAAAGACATCAAATGCGGTGGAAAATATCACAGACAACAAGTAAGAGGGGACATATCTGGTTTTTTTACACTGTCAGTCAGAAAAGAACCACTGTGGGTGTGTTCCCCCTTGGAAAAAATAGCTGGGATCATGATGATGACAAAGGGTGCAAACCCAGGCTTGCATATGCATTTGAGCTGTTTCTCTGATTTCTTTCCTTTTTTTATCCCCCCCTTCAGATTTGGTATTATGATAGAAGATTTCTCTTTATTCCTTACCTAAACTTCTCTAAAATAATGTGCGTGATTATTTCTGAGGCTTAGTGTGGAATTTCATAGCAAATACAGTAATAGAATTCCAGTACTGTAAATCTACCTGTGCTAGACTAAACTAGAAATTTTCTAAAGCCACAAAGGTTTAAATGTATTTTTAATTTGCTGCTGTTGTGTCATTAAATGAAGAGAAAGGAGGCAATTCCTTCCTTATTTTACTGAGAAAGAAAGGTTTGCTGAGTTTATGAGGTACTGCCGTTGTTAAAGGAGTTAAGTAGTAAGATACCATTTATATACTGAGAAAATATGGATATCATTGCAAGAACTAGAAACAGATTTTCCTACTATCATTTTTATATGCCAGAACATCTTCAAACTCTAATATCATGAGCAGCTTATTGGAAGAGGATATTAAGGATTGTGCTTATAAAATTCATTGGTCTGTGGGCCAGTTAAAATCTCACAGGCTTCCAGGAGCTTATGCAGATATAAAGTGTACTTAAAAATGTCTCTTGGAAAGTCACTCTGACATGAAGTTAATGGCACTTGGAGCTCTATCTCCTGCTTTACAAGATAGCAGATAAGCTTTGCTTATGAATAAGATTGGCTCTGCTGAATGATTTTTCTAATTCCTGCTTTTTATTGCACTTCCAGAGAGAGCACAGAAGCGCAGTCAAGTAAGTGCTGGCACTGCCAAGTGCAGTGTTCCATCATTGTGTGCTGTTATACACCCTGTCCTGAGCCATTTTTACCTCACCATAAAATCAGTGTGCTCCCACTAAAGTCAACAGAGACTCAGAGATTTTTTCTCCTGGTGTTTTTCTCCAAATGTTAATGTCTGTTCATATGATCACAATACATTTTGGGAATTGGGTGGCCACTTTGCCCTTGGATTACAGGCAACAGATGGGAGGTGAGACAGGAAATGATGACCCAACAAAGCCTTGTCCGGGGGCAAAACATGTCATGGATTTATGGAACTGTTTATGACCATAAAGCCTTCAGAACTGTGCTTGTTGCTCCCAGTTCCAAGGCACTTTCCACAGTTTGCAAATGAGATTTTGAAATCTACTGGTGGCAGCTCAGTAAAACCAACATCCCCAGAGTTTTTACCCTTTAGTGCTTTTCAGGGCTGTGAAACACTTGAAGTGAAAAATATCCATGTGCACAGAGCCTGCAGAAGGTCTGGGCACTGCTCAGGCTTCAGTGGGAGCTGCTCTTCCTTGTAAAGAAGGTAAAGGAGCACGTTGCATCCCCAGAGAACCAAGGCAACTGTTTTAACTCCCTGCTCTGCCCTTTATTTTGGTGTTTTCATGCTTTGCAGAGGTCCAAACTATGTCATTTAATACGTATTTATCACTTATTCCACTGGGTGTTCTCTAGTGTGGGCTGAAATTGTGAAAATAAAAACAGGAAAAAAACCAAACCCCAACCCAACCCATAATTAGGTGTTTCTTTCAGTGGGTTGGTTCTGCTGTGAAGAGAAATCTGCAATTCACTCTTCCAAATGCTCACTCCCTCTGTTTTTGATGCAGAGAGAAATCCCAAAGCGTGGCTCCAGGAGAGGGCTCTCCAGTTTGCTCGGTGGCTGCAGGTTTCAGGCTATTGCTCAGGGATTTGTTTGAGGGATTCACCTTTTCCCTGGCACTGCTCCTGCAGCAGCCCCTGAACAGGGAGAGCAGGGAAACGTGAGGAAACCCCTTCACAAAGGAGGCTTCCCTGTCGCTGTCTTGTGGGAGGAATCTTCCTTAAGCAAAGCTCCCTTTGCTTTCCTGCAAAAGCTGCTTCTCCATTTAAAAAAAACAACAACACTGGTTTTCCTGTAGAAACTGGCTCTCCATTTAATTCTGCTACCAGAGTGCTCTTCATTTTCAGGAGTGTTTCAGAGGCTTTGTTCATGCTTGAACCAGTGTCGTGGCTGGGTGAGGAGCTGGATCCTGCTCTCACTAAACCTGGGCTGAAAAGGGAGGTGAGGGTGGGCATTCCATGTGTCTCCTTTCCTTAGAAATGAGCTGTGTACCAGCTCAGTGCCAGCTTCAAACTGGTCGTTTTTGAGGTCCCAGAGTTTCCAGAGGAAGGGCAATGTCTCCAAACTGGTGGTTTTTTGAAGGAAGGAGGCTGGTTTTTCTGCAAATTTGATGTACCTGATGTTTCTGCCTGGGCAGAGCAGTAAAATGAACAACTCTTCTTCTCTGCTCCCAGTATTTCATCCCAGAGGTTCAGGGTCAAAAGGACCATAAGTGAAAAGAGATAAACTTGGCCATTGCTCAGACTGGTGGCAGCACAAATCTTGAGAACCTCTGCAGGGAATTACCTTCAATAATTTCTTTATTGAATGATTCAGTTCAATTCAATAATTTAATTATTGAATGAAATAAATTGTCTTCTCTGATGCAGTCAGGCCAAAGGGAAGCCTGTCACCCTGTCCTCTGATAAATACAAATAAAATAAAATAAATAAATACATAAATACAAAAGCAGGATCTCTCCCCACCCCCCTACAACTCTGTTCCTCCCTGGTTTTTAAGTTGCAAATACCTTTCTCCTTCTGGAGCCACATGAAACCTCTGAGCTGACAGTTATTCAAAATAAAACCAATTAATGTTGTTTTGATACAGATGACGCCTTTGATGAATTATTTAGCCGTGCTCCAGATAAACTGGAGGCTGTCAAAAAGGTAATTTACTTTTTTTTAGTAGACATCAAAATCTGTTAGGCAAAACATAAAAGTTAAATCTCCACTGAAAAAGTTATTTTTTACTTCCCCCTCCCCCTCTTCCCCTTCTGTTTTCTTTAGGTGTTTTTGCAATTTGTCAACCAGCACGTTGGAAAATTAGGATTAAGTGTGAAAGACATTGAATCTCAGGTAACCCATGTTTTGTCAGTGTTTCCTCTCACCACTAGGAATCCTCCTTTTTGTTGTAGCAATTTAAAATCTGGCAACATAACAATGATTTCCAGGTTCAGGTTGAGACATCAAGCTTCAGCCTCTGAAGTTATTGAAAAAGTATTGAAAAAATACAGTCATTTATAGTTACACATTTGTCACTTGTGTCTCTCTCCACACCTTGGAATAGTTTGCTCTAACAGCCGTCCTTTTACAAGGTCATATCTTCACTAATATGAATTTGGGAGCCTTATCTATCTAAATATGAAGTTCACTGTGGAAAAGAGGTTGAGGGAGCTGAGTCATTAGACTGTGATTGCCAGAGTAACTAACATTTAAATTCCTTTACTGCTGCAATGGCATTTATTGGAATAATTTACTAAAGCCAAATAATTTTCAGATCCTTCTTCCTCTAGTTTTCAGATGGAGTTATCTTACTTATCTTAATTGGACAACTGGAGGGTTACTTTCTGAATTTGAGGAACTTCTTCCTGACTCCAGCCAGCACCACGGAGATGGTGGGTTGTTCTGTGACCACTTAGAGCTTGAGACATCAAACATCTCGTGTGTTCAATGCCTTTGATGTCAGTGGAGGGCTCTGCTGCTGCTGTGTGTGAAGTCAGACCCCTGCAGGCTTTGCAGGGTGGGTGTTTGGGACTCCACAAACACACCTTTGGTGCTGTTACAAGACCTTGGTGTCTTCAAAATCAGTGTCTCGTGGGAGGCAAACAGCTGTTCCTTGTGTTTCTTTGGCACATCTGAGCTCCTGGAGCCTCCTGGTGAAATCCAGAGGGTCTGAGTGGTGGGGAATCAGGGGGCTATCCCCTACAAGCCTGTCCTGCAGACGTTTTTAAGTGGATGACGCCCCTTGCATGGCAGAACTGGATCCCTCTGGGTTTATCTATGCTGTCCTAAAAATATACCTTAATCAAGACATGGCCAGAACACCTTGGAGGCCCCCTCTGCTTGGAAAGCTCTGGAGAGTTGACATCCTTTCCTCCCTGGAGGCTGGGAGCTGTAACCTCCCCAGCCAGACCTGCTTGGCAGCTTTTGCAACCTGTAGCAGGCAGATTTCATCTGTGCTTTGGAAGTAAAAGCTGTCATCAGCCAGAAGGTACCATGTGCTGGGCTGCCTCCTCCACAGGTCTGGAATGTTGATATGTTTTGAGATATTTGAGATATTTTCAGCTTGTCTCTGCTGTGGGCAGGGGTTTTTCATTTGGGTCACGGAACAGCTCTGAAAATCTTGACACTGGAGCTGTTTTGGCTGGGTTATACTCAGATTTCTGAAGGTGAAATGTGTCAGATCCTTTTCAGCTGAGAAGGAAATGTCTCCTCTGGTGTGGTTTGCATTACAGCTTCCCCACACAGATAAAGCTTTTGTCTGATTCCCAACCTTAGCACAGTCAATGTCTTATTTGTAATGGAAATTCTCAGAGGTCCCATAATAATGAATAAATATTCCCATGGAGCTTTTCATCAAAACATTTGAAAGCACAGTTGTTTGAGACCTGTGTTCAAACACCAACATTTCATTGCTGTCAGCTGAGTAACTGTTTAAGGTATTAGGAAAAATAGATTTATTTTCTTTTTAAATCTAAGAACAGGGAAAATATATTTTGAAGGACATTTCCTTGGAGCAGTTTTTCTTCCCTTTCTCCTTCACCCAGTTTTCAGAATTGTTAGGCCTGGTCCATTGACTTGGAAAGAAATTTTTAGCTTTTTCATTAACTTTATCCAGAGAAAGTCAATGAATATTTTCTTATTTAAAATTTCACAGATAGCCATTTTGGTTTTGGTTCAGCCCTATTCAAGCCTCACAGATTTCTCTCTAGAAATGAGATATTCCTACAATTCAGGTACAAATCAGAGCTCTGACTTCCCAGTTCTTACCCTGCACATCACTGGCATCAGAGAAGAATATAATGGGGTCAGGCACTGCTTCAGAACTGTTCTTTCCACTGGAGTAATTTCATTTTAGCAAAGCTCCTTCCGAGTACTGGGCTTGCTGTTGAACAGTTTGCCAAAGTGGTATTTAGCATTTGTTTCTCCTCTGATGTTCATTACAAGATGCACAGTGGGATGACACCATAACTAAAAATATTGATCGACCCTCGTTCAGCTGTCATTTGGACATAAAATATGTCTTTTGATTCCCCCGTGCTTTCTGACTCCCTGTCATTTTAGACATTAATTGGTGCAGCAAAGTGGGAAGATGTAACCTTTGCTGAGATTGAAAAGATCTCGTTTGTGTTGTTCAAGTGATGACAACCACAGGCACTGTTCTAATCGACTTCCACTCCAGCTGAAGGGACAGCTGGACATTCAAAGCTTCACTTCATGCACTGCAGGGAGGGGAAATGAGGCTGGAAGGAGTGAGAATGAGGAGGAAATGGATACCAGAAATAGGGAGGGATAGGGGGGTGAGGAAACCAGGAGCAGATGAGCCTTAAGTCCCTTCTAACCCAAACCATCCCATGATAGAAATCGAGATGTGATCAACCTGCAGGTGCAAGAAGACAACTCTGTGTGGGGGTGGGTTTGTTGCAGGTTTTTTTGGGTGTTTATTGCCCAAAAAAATGAGGTTTGCAGGTAACTGTAAAGAAGTCCACCTCTGGGTGCTCATGTGCAAGGAAAAGTGTGCATTCTGTGACAAACAATATGATCACAAAATAGGTCAGGTTGAAATTAGGGGTGAGCTTTGTAAAGTCAGGAGATGAAGATGATGAGGGCCCCTGGGCTTCTCAAAACTGTGTGAACTCAGTACTTTTGCCAAAACAGGCCCAGAGCTGAAACACCCCAAATGTCCTGACTCCTGTCCAGTTGTAAATCCTGGAGGATTGTCCAGCTGGAAGTGCAGCTGGATAAAACAACTTCCTTTTCAGGCTTTCTTTTCTTTGGTAATTATCAGGGTTTCTGTCTGAAAATTCATGTTGAAATCTGCGTGTTGTCATTCCTTGAAAATCTCACATGCATTCCAGAGAGGGAAATGTGTCCCTTTTACCTGTGCTGGTTCAATAAGGAAACAATTTAAAAAAACATTCACAACTGCTGCTGAAAACATTCACAACAATCATTGTGTGATGCTGCTTTGATGTGGGAAGGGAGAGAAAAAACAGAGGAAAACTTAGAAAAAAAACCCCAGCCATAGATGTGTTTAATTTCTCATGAGTATTATTAAAGGATATCATTTATGCTCTTGTTGTGTGTGGACACCTTTATGTGGTCCAGCAGAAACTTAAAGCTCACAAGTACAGCTGACCCAGAGATTTCCCATTGGGAAATTCTGAATGAGACATGCAAAACTTTTTCCTTCTGTATATTTTGTTTGTTTCAAGTGTGGTAGGGATGTGGGCATTGTTAAAAAAAACAGAAATAAACTCCATGCATCTATTAGATCCGGTTAAGGATCTGGCCTGTTTTCCCCATGGGAGCATCCATTAACACAGGTCTTTCACTTGTGGAGGTCTATTTTTGACTAGATGGATTCCTCTGCCCACCTCATGGGATATGTTTTGCTGGAGATGGATTTTACATATAATTTTATATTATAATTGGTAGAAATTCTGAAGAGCACTCCATGAAAACTAAGGAGATGAATATGAGTGCATATTTATGAATCAGTATCTTTAGCTACTAGAGAAATATTTTCTAAAGCCTTCTGGCCACTGCACTGTCGGGGAGAAAATATTATAATATTTTCTATTATATTAATCTCTCTCAAACAGCTCCACAATGTTAACCTTGCCTTGGACTTGCTGGCAGATGGAGGTCTTCTGAATTTTTCTGTGAACTCTGAAGGTGAGTCATGGCATGCAAACTTGTCTGGAATAGAATTGCTAATATCCTGGCTTAGCAAAAATTAGATTAATTGCAGAGAGCAGGTTCTGCAATGTGACACATTTCGTTATATGGCTGCCCCACAGCTCCTCGTTCAGAAATGAACAGTAGTGGTAAAATAAGACTTCTTTTGAACAATCGTTATTTCTCTACTAAAAAAAAGTTGGATTGTTGTAAGTTTAGTAACTTTACACTAAAACTGGTTGGTAATTCAGTATTTGTTAAAGATTTAAACCAGTGACAGCTCCCAGGGAAATTACAGCAGTCGAGCTGGAGGGAAAATTATCTTCCCATCTCATAAAAAAGTTTCAGTGCATTAAAAGCAAGTTTGTTTCATGTGGGAAAAAACCTTGCAGAATATGTCTTGAAAATCAGAAACACTGATCAATCTGTTTAAACCCAGCAGAGCTGGTGGGTCAGTCTCCTGAATATGAAAATCATAGGTTTTAAGCTTTTTTTATGCTTGGTTCAGACCTGGAAGATGAGTATTGATCCAAGTGAGTGCTTTCATCACTGAATAAATGTACAGGCATGTTCCACCACCAAAAAAAAAACCCCACAACCAAAAAAAAAAGCTTCATTTGGATGAGTTCCAATTTTCCAATTAAAAAAATATGGTTCAGAAATTCCACAAAGAATGGTTTATCAGCTCCTGGTGGGACGAGGGATGTGGGTACATTAATGGGTGGTGCTGGAACTGCACAGCCCAACCCCTTGCAGGGCACAACCCCCATCCTTCCTCCACCAAGCCAGGATAAGAAAGTCAAATCTTTATTAAAAATGGAAAGAATTATCTCTACCCCTGGTAGTTACTTCTGAGAGAGTGGGGGGTGGTGTTTGGCACGTGACACTTGGAATCATGGAGAGGGAAAGATGGAATTTAGGACTTTTGATTTTTTTCTTCTGTTCTCTTTTTTCCATGAATGATTTGGTGATGTCAGCAGTTTGCTTGTGGGCTTTTTGCTGTGTCACGCAGAGCTGGGAGTCTGAAAAGCTAAATAGCCTTTATTTATGTTGATGTTAAAAGAGTGAGCTCAGGTCTCCATGCTGAGATCCACCTTCTGTATGAAAGGAGATAAATCCATGCTTTCCTCCCTTCCCTCTGGCTGTTCTGCACTGCCTCAAACATAGAGTTGATCAGGATAAGAAATATTGGTGCCAACATCTCCCAAGTCCTTTTTAGCTTCCCAGGGAAAACCTTCAACTAGTGAGTAAATTTAATATGATTTAAGGGTACTTATTACAGCTACGCTACTTAGGCTGCTCGAGGATCTCATTTACCAGTGTTTTATTGTTAATCTTGCTCCCAGTGATTTACAGCGTTGTAAGAAGAACAGTAAACCCTCTAAATCAGTTGCCCTCTTCCACTGCAGTTATTAAATACAAGAGCAGTTTGTTTAGCCAAGAACACAGAAGCTGGAAAACTAAATGAAAACAAACAAACCAAAAAAAGAAAGCAGCCAATGGCAACGAAAGATGATGGAAATATTGCAACAAAAAAATAAAGTGTCAGGTAATTCCCAACATGGTTCCTGACACAGAAGAATCATAAACAACTAAGGCTAGAAAGCCCTATTAAATTATCTACTCTGTTCTCTGCTAGTGAAGCATTATTTCTTACTATGCATTATTTACTCTGTCTTACAGCAAGATAGGGCAGTGGAGGTCCCTTTTCCTCAAGTTCCTTTAATAAATAATTAGTTTTCTAGCTCTGTAGTTCCTATTTTGTTTCTTGTTGCAATTAGATTGGCTCAGTTCCCATTCTAATTGGGGAAAGGTGGAAGATCCTTTGGCAGTTGCAGTCTCTTTCTGTTCCAGGCATTGCTAATACTTCCCCTCTGCTTTTGTTGCCCCTGGTTTGTGTATCCACAGATATTGTGAAGGGAGATATGAAGACTACAATGAGGATTCTCTATTGCTTGTATTCCAAGTACAAGACCAAAGAAGCATGAAGGACAAGGCCAAAAGCTTGAGCTTTTTTTTTTTTTTCTCCCCCAGCATGTCACGGTGTGATTTTTGGATTCCCAGCTCTGTTTGCCGCTGCTTCTGTGCCTGAACTTGTGTTTGACACTTGCTGTGTTAACACTGCATATGCAAGTCTGTTGTTCATGCAGCCTTTCACATATACAGCCTGAGTAACTTCAAATATTGTGTGTCCATGGCCAGTGTAATTCTGTGGCTGTAGCTCTTGTTCCAGACCCTGCCTTTTGTTTTCTTCAGTGCTGCAAAGAGGTGCAATGTGTGTTTTTTCTGGACTCCGCGTTCTTTGCTCCTTAAGGTGAATTTGGAAGTTGTTGTTGCAGCCTCCCCCCTTTTCCTGCTTCTGAGTCGCTCTGGAAACCGGAGAGGTGAAGACTGACACCCACTTGAAGCTCAAGTTCAAAACCTGCTTTGGAGAGGTGCCCAGAGCTTGTCAGACAAGAGGATATGGATTGGACACCAAGTGAATAGGCAGCAGAAAGGAAATCTGAACTTACCAAGTGTTTAATGAATGTTCTACTGCTCAGATATGGAGAAGGAACTAAGATCAATGTGAGACTGTGCAGTGACACGGGGCTCTGGAGGAAGATACCCTGCTTTCCTTGCCAAGCCAGTGCCAAGCTGTGGCTGGCTCCAGCCTGTTGCAGCCCCACTGTAATCTTTGACTGGCAGGAATCCCAATTCCTGTGTCAAGCAAGAAAGGCTCACATGTCCACACTTTCTCTCCAGTAAGAGGTGGATAGTTGCTGGCTTCCTCTGCAGCTGGGAGAGACCATCATGGGTGGGATTAGTGAAACTCAGCTTCCACCACTTCTGGCAGCTCAGTTGTGCTGCAGGGGCTCTCAAACTCCTCTGAGACTCTCCCAGCTGAACTTATCCAGCCACCATCCCCAGGCATCCCAGCATCTCCCTCTGGATGTGTCAAGGCTAGCCACAATTTATGTCAGCTGTCACCCTCGGTCCTCCTTGGGGGTTTTAAATCACAGCTCTTTCAAAACCTCCATTTACTCCCTTGACCTTAAAATTATGTCATGTTGCAGAAAACTAGAGATCTAATAATAAAGTTTTGGTATTATTGTGGCTTCCATCTAAACTGATTTAATTTCCTGTCCTCAGTGCCTCTGACATTTGATCTCTGGTCTGATCCTCCACCTGTGTGTTAAGGGGAAAGCAGAGCTCCAGTGCTGACATTTACAGAGGAGAATTTGTTGTGTCTACCCCTGGACACAGAGCCCAAGGAAGATCCTTAGATAGCACTGCTGAAAAGTCTTCACTGCCTTTGACAATGGTAATGCTGCACAGCTGCTGGGGGACAGAGCTCTGCAAACTGCCCTGAGCCCAATCCTTTCTGCACCAAGAATGAGCCTGTTACAGAGAAAAATACAATATGTGGTGCCAGTGATCAGCACATGCTAGTTGTGTGTGCTGTTCTGAATTATTTGAGTAAAGAATACTTGTTTTTTTTTTTTCATTTGCAAGTCTCCATCAGTACCTTGCTTTATTCCTTGATGGGCTTCTAACAGTCAGCTGGGGGACCTGAGAAGTTTGTTCTCTGGCATAAATAAATCCCGTGCAGATTTCTGGCAGAGGAAGTGTAGATCTTGATATTTAGTAAATGAAAGGGTCATATTCCCTTCCCAACACCAGCTTCCTTAAACCTGTTATAAACATATAATTCTTTTGGAAACACACAGTGGAAAACAAACAGTTAATGTTCTTGAATCAAAACCACAGACTAAAAATTGATGTTTTAATCTGCTTTTTATGCTGAGAGCCAATTTATAACCCACTTGATGTGTCTGAGCATTTTGATAAAGAGGCTGTGTTTGATTCCTAAAACATGCTATGGAATTTTACTAATCCATCATAGACACCCACTCCATAAATTGGTGTTGAGTATACAAGTGCACTGTTTACATTTGGGATGTAGTCAAGCCTTGGCATAGCTTTAATAATAAATATAAAGTGTCAGGGCTACAAAGAATATTCCAACACCTGGTTTAGTGGAAGATGTCCTTGCCCACAGCAGGAGAGTTGGAACTAGATGATCTTTAAGGTCCTTTCCAACCCAAACCATCCTCTGATCTATGAAAATGGAAAATAAAGGTATAGATGTATAGATATTTAGATATATGACTGTTCTCAGATGTTACATCAAGCTGACCTGTTTCCTTTTTCTCTTACAAGCGTAAACTCATGAAAAGCAAGACTCTTACTGTATTTACCTAATTAAATTTGCAATTTTCATACTTGAATCCTAGGTAGGAGGCCTTTTGGGATGGAAAAGTGTGATGGACTATTAAGGTGTTGGGGTTTTTAACTGTGCTCTGTAGCTGGGCTTGCAAGTTTAACTGCAATGACTCTTCAGTTTTCCAGTGGAGTCACTGAGTGACTGGGTCATAATCCACTTCCAAGGAGGAAAATTCAGCATCTTTATCTTTTACATAACTGGTAAATGGTCCATGAGTTTCTGAGCCAAAAAGCACTGCAGGAGCTTCTGTTGCTGTCCTTGTCTCACAGGGAAGTGGCAGCAGATCTGGGGATATGGAACACATCTCCGAAGGCAAAGCTGGGAGGTTGTTTTTGGGACAATTACAGCATGGACAAGAGGACCCACACCAAGGCTCTTCCAAAGCAGTGTATTTTAGGTAAGAAAAGTTTAAGCCTATAATTTCTGTACTCAAATACCTGTAAAGTTTGCATCCTGGTAGTGTTGCAGAACTCGAAGAGCCACAGTGCTTTCTTAGCCCTCGAAGTTACTCATGAGATCACCAGCAAGACTTTGAAAAGACTTTTAATTCTCCTGAGTCCGTCTGGAAGGGCAGTGAAGCACATGGGGAAAGGGATTTTCTTGGATCTCGGACACGAAGCCAAAAGGGCAAGAGCTGTTGATAGAATTTCTTAGAGGGGATCCCCACTGCAGAAATGTTGACTCTGGCTCGCTGCTAAGTTTAGAAACCGTGTAAAACACGTCCCCTGCACTTTACACAGAGCAGATGGTACAACAGGCTTTACTGGTTGCAGTGTGTCAAATAACAGATTGTCTAGAAAAGTTTGCTTGCTTTTGGCAGACAATTTAATTCAGCTCATGGTGTGTTACTGAAGTTCACCGTGCATCTCGGCAAAAGTAGGCAGCTAACACATTTTGTGTCATCTGCTGTACCAAAAGTTTCTTAAATAACAATAAAAAAATGTTAGAAGTTGTGTCCCTACTTGTTCTCTTGAGTGGAGGTGGGAAGAGACATCTCGAGTGTGTGAGTAGGAAAAGCAATCCACGAGCTTGATTCATATTCCAAAACCATTCCAAATCTCCTTCCAGTTGGGAAAAAATTGTATGTTCATTTTCTTTTTAATATACCTTTTGAAATAATTCCGCCCTTTGTTTTGGAACGGGAGAAACATAAAAATCTCAGATTTTATTGCAAAAAAAAATAGAGATTCTACAGACTTTTACCATCTAATAGGTTTGGTACCAGGACAGTGTTTACAGGTGATATCTGAGGAGGTTGAAGACCTGCAGACTGTGGTTGTATGTGATTCCAAAGGGTGGCAATGTCTTTTAAATGGACTTTTTCTCCATCAAATACCATATCTGGAGCTGTGAATCGCTGTGCATGTGTCACATTTCATTCCCTCATTGCACATCTTGCATGTGAACTCCCTCTGCCAAGGTGTGTTTCCTGTGAGCCCATCTGTGCCAGGCCTGGAGGGTGGGAGTCAGGAATGTCACCGAGTCCTTCAGTGTGAGCCCTAAAAACTCCTGGTTTTTGATTCTGCAGACCACTAACCCGGTCCCTGCCCTGGCCAAAGGGAAGGCCAGCACTGTGCCAGGCCCTGGGACTTGTCTGGATGTGCTGGTTTAAAGGTAAACCCGCAGGGGAAATGAACCCAACTCAAAGGAGAGATTATAAGTCAGAATAACAATTTAATAAAATAATACAGTAAGTATGATTATACAGACAAACAATTGGTTTTAACCCACAAAACCCAAATGTATAACCCAGCACCCTGGGGCAGGAACAGAGTGGTGTTCCTTGGGTCCCCTGAGTCCAAAGTAAAAGGAGAGGGGAAAAAACCTGTTGGTGAGAGTGCTGGTGCAGTCTGGTCAAGAGTGGTGGTTACAGTCTGGTCGAGAGTGGTGGTCTCAGTCTGGTTGAAAAGTGGTGGTCTCAGTCTGGTTGAGAGTGGTGATCTGCAGTCCTTCTCTGGATCCCACGAGTGGTATAAAAGTCCCAAGACCCCAAGATTATATATCCTCAGGTTCAGGCAGGAATGCCCAGTCCCTCCCTCAGGGCGGGGAGTTCCACAAAGGGTGTGAGCACAGGAGCATCCTCCAATCTCACAGGCCTCTTAACACCCAGTTTATAGCCTGAGGAGTCAGGGCTGCTCTGGGCAGAGGGTGTAAATGGTCTATTGGTAACAGTTTCTGGGAAATGGCATGGAAGGTTATGGAATACGCAGTTTTGGGTTACACCCATACAGTGATGAACTGGTCCCAGCTGTTCTAACTAGGACACTGGAGGCACAAGGTGAGGCTTTTGTTGACAAGGACAAGGGTTGAGTGGAGGAGGTGGAGTCCTCCCCGTACACAATTCCTCCAGGCCCGAGTTTCCCAAGGCCCAGACGCCAGCAGGCTCCCTCCCCACAAAGTCAGCCCGCTGACAGACCGTGCTGTTGCCAGCTGGCATGCTTTGATTATGACTTTATTATTAATCAGGATTTGTCAGTCCTCTCTTGCTCAGCCTGTCTGCCGTTCCCTGTTCTCACCAGTGGAGCTGCCAGTGCCCCCGGTGGGGTGAGGGGACTGGCATTTTCTGTGCCTCTTTTGCCATCTCTTGGGGAGAGCAAAACCTGCCTGGACTCTACAGCTCCATGGGCGAGGGGAGGTGGTGTGACATCTGTGAGGAATCCACCTGTGAGGAGCAGCAAAGACCCCCTGGCAGCTGGGAGTTGTGGCAGAGCAAGGAGGGAATGGACTGGAGAGCTGCAAGGGGAATATTTTACCTGGAGGAGGAAAGAAAGGGGGCACAGGGAGCCTGGAGGAGGAAGAAACTTGGCCGGTACTGGAGGGGGGAGCTGGAAGGTGCAGAGGGAACATTTGTATTTTCTCAGCAGTGTCACAGATCTTCTCTCCTTTGAAGAGGATGGTGAGGGCAGGAGGACACAGTAATACAGGCGATAAACCTGCCCAAAACCTGACCCTGGGTGCTTGGGAACCTTCAAGTTTGTGTCCCTCAGAGCAAAGAGCTCAGTGACCAGTGGGCTGAGCATGATCTGCTGCCACTTCTGAGATCCCAGCTTGCACTTCTGCTGCTGCCTGAGACAGGTGGCCTCAGACCTGAGGCTTTTCTGGGGCCTGACTGTGTATAAGCTGTCACTTACCTTATATGTTCAGGACAATATCGCTTGGGGCAATGCTGGTGGGCAGACTGTACTTCCAAGGGCAATTTTAGTGGCTTGGTTAATCGAGCATATCTCGATTAACTCTCTGAGCGTGCTGGAAAATTCTCTGTTCTCTGACTGCTCACTGCCTTGCACCTCCTGAGGTTATTCCTACAGAAAATGGGAATGGAATGCTGCCAGCATGTCATGGTGGTGATGCACAGGCAGCTTTAGTCACAGGAGTAAATGACCACACGGTACTGAGGGCAGAGAAGAAGAAGGTCTCTCAGAGGTGACCGTGTGTGAGGAGAGGTGGAGTGTGTGCCTTCCCTCCTGCCTCCTCTACCCAGAGGAGGCATTGGCACTGTCCAGAATTGGTACTTTCTGTGTCCTGTGGGTGTTTCTTTTTTTTTTTTTTTCCCCAGACACCCACCACTGACTTAACTGTGAATTCAGTGGGAGTCAAACCAAATTAGAGCATTTCGGAAAATCCTTTTCAAAATATGTAGTCTGCCATCCGTGGGGATGTTCATGGACGCCTTCCAGAGCAGCTCCAGACCAAGCAGGATTGTTGCTCAGTGCCTGGGAGAGCGACAGACTCCACCCGTGGGACACAAATGGAAGGAAGGGTGGGATGGGCGTGGGCACCAGGTGCTGACCTGCTACAGGGTGTGTTGGGGGTGATCCCACCTCCTCCTCACAACCTTTCTCTGGAACAAAATTATAAACTTGGTGGCTCTAGAAAATCCTTTTTTTTGTGTGGTTTGGTTTTTTTTTCTTTTGCTGGCTTGGAGCCAGTCCAATCAAGAAAC